TGAAATTCACATACTTTAATTTATCTTTTAACTTTTTTTAGGGTATTTTAGTGTTTTTTTTTTTGGGGATTATACACATCCTAATCAATTAGACGGATAAAGCAACACAACTGATCTCCAAGTAAATCCGACAGTAACCTAGATTATTGCTTCTCCACATGCACCACTTAACGCCATTCTCATTTGTTTCCCAATTAATGTCTGTCCTTCTCGCATTCTATTTTAATTGCTTCTCACCAGCTAGCTGCCAAGCATTGGATAATCCAAGACAACAATATAAGGAACAGCAGATTCGAAGTGCATTTTCATTTTAATGATTACATTTAGGCTTCTACTGAGATCTATAATTAATTAATCAAAAGACTCAAATAATTAATTGTCTCGATAGACCCTTCAATTGAAAAAAAAGAAAAGGGCTAATGTAATTTTCTGAGAAAGTTAAGCCATCATATTGCTCTCAGTAGGAGGTTCCAGTGATACATTAACTGGAAGCTAAAATAATTGATCGGTTCTAAACAGAATGGTTAACTAAATTTTAATTTGGTTTGAAATATAAGATTCTAATTTATTTTACCTCTCATATTTATCTATTTTGTCTTTGAATGATCTCTATGATGATTGTAAAAATTGTTTCAACACGCATGACTGACAAAGATATTTAAAAGAAAAATAATATCTATTTTTATAAATAATTGATTTGACTAATTTTTTTATATTCATAAATTAATTATCTTTTTGGCCAAATCATAAATTAATCATTTGGATTTTATATTATGGATCAGTTTAATTTGATAGCAATATCTCGGTCACACAAAAAAAAAAGTTGATACTGATATTATTTTTTTGTTAAGGACTAGAATGACAATTATTCTTTTGCGGCAACTAATTAAAAAGGATGTGAGGGGACAAACTTGCAAATATATGTCAGCAATCATTAGACGTGCAAAATCGGCCAAAAGGCAAATTTCTGGTTTAATTTAAAATCAATTAGAAGGCTATTGTGGTGTGAACTGGAGAGAGTTTTGACATAAAAATATATCCATGTTTAATTAATGCTGATAAATAATTAATTGTCTACGGTCTACCCCCATATTAATTGTTACGTAGGTGCCCACGGAACCATATTTTTAAATATATTTGTATCGTGACTTCCTCGTAATAACATAACAAAACATTGACAGCCCTCGTGCCTCTAATAAGATTTATATTTCCATGATTTTTATTTGTTTAATTCATACAAATATATCTAAAACTTAAATTAAATTATATGTTTATCTCTTTTAAATTTAATTAAATTTATTTTTTAATATCAGAATTTATATAAATTTCACCCGAAAGCAATAAATTTTTCCGGTAATCCGGAATTTTAAAAAATGACTGTACAAGCATCAATCAATTAAAAAATTATTGTGTTTTTGCTTCGTTTACTAAGAAGAGAGGGGGAAGTACGAAAGGTATGGTATCTCGAGAAAACTATTGTCCCTCTTTCTAGCTATTTTATTACCCTAATGCTTATGTTTGGAATCATATAATGCTTTCTTGCCACCTTCCACTACCTCACTAAAATAATTTATTTACTTATTATGAGCCTGTCCTTCACAAGTCACAATGTGACAGTTAGGTTTAAATCTTTACTAAAGAAGTGTTTGGATAGAAACCAAACCATGGTTTCAGAAGTGCTTTTACGGATTACGAAGTAAATATGTGGAGGAGGTTATCTCGTTTTACGAAAAAATGCTTCTGAAACTACGGTTTTGGAACACCCAAACAGGCCCTAAAATAAATACCACATTTAATATCCTATGATGCTTGAAACATGATTGCCTCTAATAATAAGTAAATATATGTACTACTCCGTCTCTAATTATAAGAATCTTTTGATCAAATTATGTTTTTTAAGAAAACAGTTAAAATTAGTTAAAGCAATTAATATATAACAAATGTAAGTTTTTTTTTTCAAATATACCCCTAATAAACGTAAGAGAGTAATAATGAGATAAATAGAGAGAGAATGTAATATATGAAATTTATTAGGGGTAAAACAGGTAACGATACATTAGATGTCTAGACAAACTCAAAGAGGACCTTATAAAAAGGGACAAATCTATTCAAAAAAGAGAATCTTACAATCAGGGACGGAGGGAGTACTTGGCAAAAAATAACATCTTCTTAAGTTTTAAATAATACTCCTCCGGTCTTTAATATAGGACCCAATTCTTGAGTTGATTTTGGTCTTAAATATAAAACCCATTTATCATATTTATCAATTGTTTCTAAATTACCCCCATGGATACTCCTTCAACCATAATCAAGTAGAAGAGGGAGAAGGGTATTAAGAAAGATAATTATGGTATTTTAGGAAAAATGTGTCACATTTCTTATAATTAACTAACTTACCTAACTTCCTTAATGTAATCAAATTAGTTAAATGGGTCTTATATTAAGGATTGGAGGAGTACTATCTCTAGTTATAATTATAAAATCTTATTTATAGATTATAAACAAAATTTTATAATTAGGATAGCATTTGATACAGTTATATTCACATTAGTTGGAGCGCTTTAATAAGTTGTCATTTTGTTTACTATCACTCTAATTCTCTATACTGCAGAAATTTCACTTTCGTATTTATAGCAAAGGAGTTCAAATCTGGCCTGTAATTCAAATATTATAAGACTCAATATCAAAGACAGAGGTTTTCAACCCCTTTCTTATTATTATATAGGTATCATGCTTTTTATACCTTTTAAAATTTAGATAAATTTTATACTGTATATCGTTTTTAATCTCTACTTTTTCATGGCAAATCTTGGCTGCGCCCCTAAACAAATCTGACTAGAAATAACTCTTCTAATTTGATTTTATTTTCATTTAAAATAAGGATTGAATTTCTAACCTTTTATGTCCAAAAAAAAAAAGAATTTATGACTTTTCGTTGAGAGGGCGATGGTAATACATATACAACATTCGATTCAATGTTTGTTTCAATAAATTGATATCATTTGAAAAAAGAAGTCATTTTCCCAAGTTCCATGTGACTGAACCACATGCTTAATGCCAATCTCCATAAACAATTAATGCAAATAATATTAAAAAAAATTAATTAGATTACAGTACTGTCCCTCAGTACATATTCAAATTACAAAACCACCTCCTACTTTGAATGAATTATACTCTCTTTTTGTTTAAGTGAAAAATAAAAGTGTGTCAATGAGTATAATCATCATTAATAAATCATCATTAATACTTCTTAAATGACTGTTTTAATTTAATTTCTAAAAAATTCAAATGAGAAAATTAAAAGGTTTTTTATTGAATAATCAAATTAACATATAATGAGAATAAAATGAATTTTTGTAAAGTAAATTGTATAACGCTTGTATGAGAATTTTTTTTTATTTAGATATCTGATAGGGTGAAAATACAGAAAGAACGAGAATGAAAGATGTGGAAGTTATCGAAATATTGTTAATAAATATGACTTAAACTTGATATCAAAAAATTATTCTTCGGCAAATTATATTTTTCTTTCTTTTACATTTTTCAAGGTGAAGGGGATAACTCCCTGTCCAAACAGAAAGGTTGATTGTTTGGAAGAATTACAATGAGATATTAAAAAAAATAATTACTAAAAAACTTTAATAACAATCTAAATAGTATTCCCTCCGTTTCTTATTATAAGAGACATTTGATACTTATGGCATGTTCCCATCTATAAGAGACACTTAAAAGTTGTCTCTATTTTTTTGTATTGATTTCCTATTTTACCCATATTTATTTTATTTCCAACTCATACTCTCTCTCCCTCCCACTTCTCTTTCTTTTAATAATTTAATTGTTCTCTCTCATACTCTCTCTCCTTATTAATGGAGGCATTGTTGGAAAAAATATTATACTTTTTATAGATAAATTGTCTTCAACTAATTTTAACTGTTTTTTTTTATCAACATAATTTGATTATTTGTATTTTATAATAAAAAACAGAGGGAATATGTAATGACAAGTTCTAAAGTAAAAGATAGTAGCTTTTGGGACTAGTTTTTTTTTTTTTTTTGAGACCTCGTGCAGAATCAATTGAAGAAATACTTTTGAGTTTACCAAGCGCGACCTAAAGCCTAAAGTTTAGAGCTTGTCCTTTTTAGACTTTTCACTGCTTCCTAAACAGTCCAAAGCACAAATCCTACACAGTCCCTTCGGGAATCTTAACCACTTTCGAAGCAACTTCATTACTATTACGCCCTCTTCCCATTTCTCCACCTAACACTCTCCGTCTTTTGTCAATTGTTTGCTCTTGTCACTAACATGAATTTTGTCCAATAATAATAATAATAATAATCTCAACAATTTTGTCAATTTTTTTAAAAATAAAGTTGAGCTAATAACTTATGGACACTTTGATTATTTGATGCAGCAAAAAGTGACTTTTGCTTTGTATAAAAAAAATTCAGACTTTTCCTAATATTCATTTTTCTACCATTCATAATGCACAAGACTCTCGAAATGCCCCTCCCCCCACTAAATCTCTTCAGAATATATGTAGTTAATACTTAACACTAAACGCACTATGAAAATTAATTAGAAGGAATTTTTTTTTTTTTAGGGCTGAGAGGGAGAATAAAGTCGAAAAATTACTGTGCTTGCCACTCGCTTTGCAATATTGATGGTGATGCGCAGAGAGACTCCCATTTATCAAATCTCTCATTGACTTTTGTGTTTATATTCATCGAATCAAACTAAAAATCTCCAAATCATCAGAAAAATTAAAAAGCAAAACTGGTAGGCAGACACATAGAAAGAGGATTTCAACAGTACAGAAAGTGCCCGGCATTATAATGAATCGAACTGTGATTGAGTGTTGTGTACCACACAAACCAGTACTTGTGTTTGTCAAACAAAGAAGAAAAGACCTGAAACCACCAAATACTGTGCATTAATTAAAAAGAACAATCAATAAAAAGCGCAAAAAAAAAAAAAAAGGGCTAGAGAGAGTGACAGAGGAATTAAGCAACAGACGACAATAACAACAGCAATGATAACACTAAGCTTGAATCATAATACACCATATGCAGAACAGAACCACCATTCAACAACCTTAAAGTAAGATACAACGTTACAACCTTCCATTATTCCTTATCACTATCTATCTGGTAGCGATTTTAATCTCTCAACTGACTCTCAAATCCCAAAGGAAACCTGGAATTCAACCAGATCCCCTCTTTTGACTCTGATACAAGTTTCTGAAAGCCCCAACCGGTTTGATTTCTTTCTCAGTACATGGCAAATTATTTATTATCTTTCCATTACGGCCACAAATCTGCAGAAGCCATTATCGGATGGTTCAGATATCCCATGTTCATTGGATTGAAGAAGCCATTGTTGGGCTCCATGTTGAAGGTGTTTGCAAAAGCTCCATTGTTGGAGGCATTCAAGGAATCGATTATTTCGTTCAGAGATTCCAGCCTGTGGCTCAGCTCACTGGCTTGAGCTCGAAGAACAGAGTTGTCAGATTCAACTCTTAAGTACTGCTCTGTGGTGAGAGTAACGCTTGTGAGAATTTGCTGATTCTCCTTTCTGAGCTGAGCCACTTGAGCCACCAGATCGTCCAGATGCTTCTGCTTTCTCATCCGAGATCGCCTTGCTGACTCGCGATTCGATATCATCCTCTTCCTCTTCCTCTGATCCATCAGAACCTGCAAATCCTCCTCGGAACCAGAGTTTTGGGCCAGAGGTGACGAACCTGAACCTGAAGATGTTCCGCTTGAGGAAGCCATGAGAGATCGATACGAGATTACACAGACCCCAAAAACGTAGAAACGAAAACACAAAAACAGACACTCGCAGGACCCAGAACCTAAACAGAAAGAAACCCCGAAAACACTGCACAAAGTAAAAGGATTATTGTAGAATATAGCGATTAGAGATAGTAATTAGAAAACAAGCGGGCAAAACTTTGAAATCATGAGACGTAGTACAGCCAGTAGAGGAAGGCAACGGAGAAAGATTGAACTAAATGGGTCCTGCGCCTGACAGTAGAATTGACCATACACCCAGAAAGGAAGATTTCACTGATAATTGGATTCATGAATCTCAAACATCAACACCACGAAATCGGGCATTTACAAAAACCTCAAAATCTACCACACTTGATGAGGGGGGGGGGGAATCGTGACTTTCTGTCCCAAACAGAGTCCAACCCTTCACTCTGACATGGGGAAAGCTTCGAACTTTGGTATCGAGAATGAAGAATCTGGAGATTTGGTATGGGGGTTATGGTCCTTAAGGATGTTCAATCCAAAAAGGGCCAAAGACTTGGCTTCAATTTGGGGACTCCGATGAGGACCTCGAGATCTGCGCTCAGAACAAAAGCTTGGGCTCAAAACTGAGCTCGCGCAGAGTGTAAGAAAAAATCTTACAGGCTGTGAAGAAATTATGAGGGAAGAAGGAGAGAAATGAGAGAGAGGAGGATTCGAAGTGATTATGAGTGGGGAACTTATAGACCTGAAAAGGCCAACAACTTGATGGGCGGAAAAAAAAAATATTAATTCTAAATTCTTTCTGAAATTCTAAACCGGAAAGAAAGCCAAGAAAAAGTTTTTTTTTAATGTTTTAATGTGGGGATTCTATTTTTTTCATTTCATGAAGAAGATAATATTACTTTCAACTGCGGAAATGCACGACAAAAACATTATATTTGTGAATGGTGTGAGGGGAAAAAAAAATCTAATTCCTCTTTCTTTCAAATAGATGATATAGGTATGGCATCTCTGTATATATTAGGTATACGTCTTGTAACCTACACATATATCGCCATGACAATAACCGAGGTAAAAAGGTACGTATATTTAATTCCGATAAAAAAAAAAAAAGCTATGTCATATACTCCTCTGATCAAATAAGATAGAGAAAAAATATATTTTTTAGTCATATTTATAGGGTAAAAAAATTGTGTATGGATGTACAATTTCGCCTTTTATTTATTATTGTATAGATTTTGTTTACATGAAATATAATGTATATTAAATAAGGATAAAATTGAAAAGTTGTTAGAGTTTAAATGAGAGTTAATGGAGTTTAAGGTTTTTCTTTATTTGTATAACACATGTTGGAAGTGACTTCTAAATAGCGCCAAATGAGTACTTTTAAAAAAAATATTATCTTTAATCATGAATATAATATTTTGGTTGATTTTTATAAATATATATTACTTTAAAAATACTTTTTAAGACTCAATATACTCATGCATATATTCTAAAATTATGAAATACAGTCAGAAAAATTAGATATAAGAAATTAAATTTTAAAAACTGATTATTTAGAACGTAATTGTTAATCCAAAAGCCTTCATAATATTTATAGATAAGTATATGCCTTTAAAAAAAGAAGAAAATATTCTATAAAAAAAGAGTGTATGATATTCTCTATTTTTACCATTGTAAAATTAAATGATATATTTATTTATTAAATATGAATTTTATTTTTTGGAAAAAACGGAAAGAGATGGGTACACAGGTGTTCGGGATACAGCTGGGAACCAACAATATTATGAAACACATAATCAATATTCATAATTAAAAAAAAAAAATACTTCCAAAAATAGAACCAATATCATCATCACAATCTCACGGGACATCTGCTTATCACAATTGGATTTTTGTCAATATGCATATCACACCCACACATTATCTTTTATATTTATAATTATTTAAATGCATATAAATATTTTTTAAAAAAAATATATTACTTATAGATAGAATTTATCTGCAAGTGTCTTACTATTATTCCAATTCCAATGATTTCTTTTATCATAAAATGCAAATAGATAAAATTCATAGAACTGCCACTCCTGTGTTGCTTATCTTATCCACAAGTCCAAAAACAAACACAATAATGAATAGAATCCAAATTACTACTTGCTTTGCCTTTTCAACCTAGCAGGACATTAAAAATAAAATTAACTATCAAATATCAATGTAAGAATTAAAAAAAAATGGGAATAAGCACACGGTTTTATGAGTTGCTAATAATTCAACTTTTATTCTTTGAATTTTTATAGTACTGATTTTAAAAAGAAAAAAAAAACAAAATCAATGGTCGTGGTTTCATTTGTTTTCAAAACGAACACCGACGTCAAGCTAAATCAATCAATCATTGCTATTTAAATAATAAAAACACATTCAATCAACCTCCAACTAGATAATCCACCATTGTTGTCTCAGAGTATAGATTCAAAATAATGATAGACGCAAGAATCAAATGATTATAATATAGGGGAATTCGATTCCCCGTTTTCTCCGCCCTCCGGAAAAAAAATATAAAAATATTTCTCATGAATTCTAAAATTGGAAAAAAAATTAATGGATGCACTAAAAATTTGTTTTGTTAAATAAAAAAATTAGGATTAGTACGAATAAAAATAATTTTTTCACAATTTTCATTGAAATTAGAAAAAAATTATTATTCATTTTCAAGACTGAAAACTGTTTCCTCCTCCCCTTTTTTGTAAAAAGCACACGTTGTTTATACATCTTGAAAACTTCTCTACATGTTTTGTTAAAATTTAATATGTTGTGTTCATTTTGATGGAATGTTTAAAATATAGATTTGGGAATTATAAATGTATCAAATTTGTAAAGCCAATAATATAAGTTGAGCCTGCAAGTTATAACGGATTTGGATTGACAAGATACCAATATATCAGAATGCAAGCTGTTTCAACGATTAACATGTCAATCTATCTTAAGTTATTTAGCTTAGTTTCCTTTGTCAAGTTTGTAACTTGTCCGGCTTAATTTTTTTTTTTTTTAAAAGCAATCCATCTTAAATGGAATTGTAACCCACCTTCCATCCCCCGACAAGCTCACAATTGTAGGTTTAATAGCATTATCACCTCTATCAATTTGTTTTTTAGCTCCTACAACAGGCAAAGTAAATTTAGGAGATATTTAAATGGAATTCAAGTCACGATTTTAAAAATGATTTTATATTATATGAAATAAATATATAAAAAAGTTTATTTTGACTTATGAAAAGTATTTTTTTCAAATGCCGGACACCCTCTTAGTATAGTGAATAACTGAATAATTAATTTATGAAAAGACTTTCTTTTTAAAGAAAAGATAGACAGAATTTATATATTGGAAATAAATCTAAAAAGTTCATTTTTGAAAAATGTGAGAAAAGAATAATGGCGGAGCATGTGTACACTGTACGGCACACTACATAAATCTAGAGGCAGCAAGCAGTGCCGCAATACGGCCTTTACTAATGTTTCAGCAACAGAGACTGCAAATAGCAGACAACAAAGACCACGCCATTAAACCTGGAGTAAATCCACGCGCTCATCCTTCGCCCTTGGATCACCAAGTCAAGCTCCTAAAGTCGCTCGTGCAAATCCCACAGATGGTCTGGAGACACATTTGTGGCGCAGTTATTCTGAGTTGTAAGTTGTCGTTGTCAGTCACATGCGCGCATAAGAGCGTGTGAACCACGAACGGTTGGAACGGTTCAGCTGTGGCGCGCCTGGGCATCACGCCCGCCGCACTAAGTGGATCTGCTCGCTGAACAGGAACGTGACACGAGTCGCACTTTCTGGAGGTTATATAAAGTATGGGGAGACGTAGTTTGGTAGGTGCGGCCGACCAATTAGATTTCAGTTTCGAGAGTCGGGCCCCAACGCATTTTGCTTCATCGTGGGGCGTCTGCATTGACAATTATGGCCTTCGGAATTTCTTGAAATTGCAGTGGAAGAAGGCCGGAGGGCTCATTTTGTCTTTTCAAGAGTAGACAACAAGATTCCGTTCGCAGATTCCATTCCGGTGTTTGAGTGTGAGAACAGCATATCCCTCGTCGTGGTTTCTGAGGCCAAAATAAAAAAATTTAAAGTTAATGGAACCCACTTGCAGTCAAAATATTAGTATACATCAATATAGAACTTTGCTGGACTTTTACCTAATAAACTATTTTAAAATAATGCACGCTGATTTGTTTGATAAAAAATTGATTTTCTTTAAAAAAATCAATTTCAAGATCAATAACAGTTAACTTAAAGTGTCCTGTGTTTCATCACCTCACACTAATGGCTAATTTAATATGTATTATTAAAATATATAATATTCAACCGATTTTATAAGATTTTTGTTATAGTATTATGCAATTTTTTAGATTCCTATAATTCATTTGAAAATATTTTTAAAATAAAATAGCAATTTAATCCTAGATTTAATAGTTTATATTGGCGTACCGACTCAACTGCTAGATTAAGGAGAAATTATTGTGAAACATCAAGAAAGAATATAATTACTAAAAATTTTAATGACACAGGTACTGAAATTTATTGCCCACTTATCATAAAATTTTTAATAATTACTCCTCCGATTCTAAATAAAGTTTATAGTCACTATAAAATGATTATTATATTTAGGAGTGAAGGAATATATTGATTTGGGACCACATAGTTTTTTTTTTTTCAAAATTAATGAGAATGGCACCTGGCTTTTGAAAATTGATGAACTCAAGCAAAAGGTGTTCTAGTTTCTTCGTCCAACTAAAAATATGAGAGAAGTACAATAAATATTATAAAAAATAATTATAAAATAAGTTTCAGAAGTTATACTCATCGATCCTTAATATAGGACCCAATTATTAACTTGATTTTGGTCCTAAATATAAGATTCATTTATGATATTTATCAGTTTTCTCTAAATTACTCCTATGGATACTCCATTAACCATAATCAAGTAAAAAAAAGAGATATGATATTAAGAAAGATGATTATGGTGTTTTAGAAAAATGTGTCACATTTCTTATAATTAACTAACTTACCTAACTTCTTTAATCTAATCAAATTAGTTAAATGGATCTTAGATTAATAACGGAGAATATTTTTTTATTGTGGAACTTGTCAAGCTTAGGTTATTATTGAGACTTTTTAGTTTTTTTTTTGTTGGGAGCTTATTGTTAGACACGCACTCTTTAAGGTAGGAGAGGCCTTATTTATTTAATCCAGAGGCGATGGATTCTGATTTGTTGATGATCATCAATTAAAAATTATCGAAAACAAAATCACACCAAAAGGTGGTTGAGCTAATTTTTATTCAAAGATAAGGCTGCCCGTAGTAATAAAATTACAAGGATTTAAATGATATTATACTAATTGCATGGAAAATAAAGATTATTAAAAACAATAATGTCATACAGAAAACATAATTATGTTCAGTTTTTTTTTTTTATTTGGCATATATATTGACAATACTTATAGTTTTCTTTCTGCTCTTCGGGTGCTGATCTTACTAGAACTTTCAATTCTCATTGCGTGTATGACCCATATAATGTTGGAGTCTTTTTTTTTCCCTCTTTCCATCGTTTTCCTTTTCTTGACGTATCTTTTTTTTTTTCTTTTTTCTTTTTGAATTTTTAGGACTTGATGTTAACGCATGAATGGGCTTTATTACTATTTATGTACTATATTG